GTAAACCACGCGAGATTTGTATCCAAACCGAAAGAATATCTTCCACTCGGATGGCCGCTTCCTGATTCCAGTACAAATTTCTGATCAATTGAATGTCTTTCCCATCAATGCTGAGTTCTTGCAGAAGTTTCAGGAGCTTCTCGTGCTGAACTTTGTCGAACGCTTTAACGTAGTCGATGAAACATAGGAACACCACTTGTTGATGTTGAATAGCCCTCTCACAAAGCATCCGAAGAGTGAAAATGGCGTTCCTTGTGCCTTTATCGGGCATAAAACCAAACTGCTCATCTGCGATCACAGGCCGCAGTTTTGTTCTGACTCGTTCAAGAATGATGGTGAGGAGAAGTTTCACAGAGTGGCTCATAATACTGATGGTACGATGAGCCTTAGCTATGGAACTTTTATTCATGCCTTTGTGATTTATTAGCCTCTTTTTGTCTAAAGCTTGGGAGTTTTATTTTTTTTTCTACTTTTTAAATCATCAAACAGTAGCTAGAGCTCTCTGCCTCTTAGAAAAATATTGGCAGGCAAGATTGTATGTACATTAAAAATAAACATTTTTACATAGGAAATATATGTAGTATGCATCTTGGTAAGTATTTGAATAGCTTTAAACAGCCATTGATACTATCAGTAATAGTGTATAAAAGAGAAAGATATTGTTTTGCTAATCATTGAAAGAAATGTTGTTAGCCAAAAAAATTAATCATTGTTTTGTGACGAGACATTTAGTCACAGGTATGACTGTATGAGCAAAAGAAGACAGTCATAGACTTTTTATTGATAGACTTGTTAGCAAACATTTCTTAAAGGTCATCATAGTTACAATGTAATCTCACGACTGTTATGACATATCTTTCCTCTGTCATTAAAATGTAATATAAGCATATAGAATAAATATTGTTTCATTTCGTCTTCATTGTCATTTCTATCCTGTTAAACTCATGTCATTTTGTTTATTATAGATTTTGAGTGTCCCCAGGTACATAGAATATTTCCTCTTAACTTATTTAATTTAAAATCTATTCTCAAAAATATTTTTGTTGGAATAGCTTATAAAGTCTATTTGTGCATTGTATTGAACTTTATTCACAGGCGAAGAATTATTATTAGAAAACATTTCTTTGAGTCATCATAGTTAGTAGCCATGTAATCCAGCAACTGTCTTCTCTGCTTGTGACATTTTATATTCACAGCTATACAAAACCCTTTTTTGTTCTTAATTTTGCCTTGCAAAAACTGAGTTATAAAAACTGCTGGGTATATTTGTTAATGAGCCTTAGCTATGAAACTTTTATTTATGCCTTTGTGATTTATTAGCCTAATCTTTGTCTAAAGCTTGGGAGTTTTATTCATTTTTTTCTACTTTTTAAGTCATCAAACAGTAGCTAGATCTTTATTGGCAGGCAAGATTGTATGTACATATTTAAAATGTACAAATAAAAATTTTACATAGGAAATACTTTATGAAATATCAATAAAACCCACTAATTGACTGTCATGTATATTTTCTTCTTGTATAATAAACAATATGCAATGGATAATGTATATATATCTAGCAACATGGACCTTCACCATGCATGCTGATGAAATGTTTTATGTATTTAAGAAACTAACATCATTGTATCTCATGCAGCTGATACACAAAAGAGTAGTCATGAATAAAAACTGCTGTAAAGGTCATGTATCTATATGTATTATCATTGGTATACTTAGAACAACATTTATACTGTAGTACCTATTTGTTTTAACATAATCTAGCTTATTTTCCATAGAGCAAAGAGTTTATATGATGCATATGATATTCAATCAAGCAAAATGCATAGGGAAAAACCCGCAATTTGAATATTTGATACATCCAAGGCTATAGGATTCATTGCTCGAATAACATTCTTTGTTTTTCTTGTCATTGAATGAATTGTACGTATTTGTAAGACAATGTCAGCGAGTTATGTGCACTAATCTTAAAGAAGTAGCTCTATCTCAATTGAGAGTCTCGCTTATGAGTTGCAAAGAGCTACCGGACGCAAAAAAGACAATACAAAATGCAATTGCTCTTGTGTAAAAAAGGATTTGTTACGTGGATAAATTGTTGGCTGTTTTCGTCAGCAAAACTTGGGATGTTTACAGCACTGACGAATGTAGTACATTGTCCATAAAGCTCTTATTCTAAAAGCCTTTGCCATGGAAGATACATATGTGATTAAAAACTCAAGGTAAAACCTTTTTGATCAACAACATCTCGCCCATAATTGTCTTTGAGAAGCTAAGCCGCCATATTTAACTGTTTTTTGAAAAGTTAACTATGCTCCATAGCATAGTTAACTTTAACTACCTTTTAACTGCATTTAGCGCTAACTACTTTTTTATACAACCGACTTAACCGAGTGGTTAAATTTAACTACTTTTTAACTGCAAAAAGTGTAGTTAAAAAGTAGTTAAAGGACACATGCAACATAAAATTCGGATTGTTATTTTTGTACTTTACATAAAGGTATAGCTCCAACTAATAGTTCACCAAAGTTTGAGACTCAAAGGATAAATATTTTTGAAGATATGGAGCTTTAAAGTTGATGCTTTCCTGATAACGTATTAAAAATGCCCGACGAGCTAACGACGGCTACCGATGTCGTTGTGACGTAATAGTTGACATAAGCTAAACGCGGTCAATTGCGCGCTTCGTTCAAAATATACTTTGCCTGCATTAACAACACGATAATTTAGCATTGAAAATATGGTTTATTGTGCCGCATTTAATTATAAAAACGGTTCTTCTAAGAACCATCAAACGCAGCAAAAGGTTTCTTTTTTCGTTTCCCGAAAACAAGCGCATGCGAGATATTTGGATTGAAAAAATCCGACGCAAAAATTTGAAGCCAACAAAGAGCTCAAAATTGTGCTCGCAACATTTCGAGAGTTCGTGCTTCGTGCAAAATTTTGAAGCGATGCAATCAGTAGGATGGACAGCAGGACGGCTTCGCCTTAAGAAGGATGCTGTATCCACGATTTTTTAATACTCTGTGGAACCCACAAGTGTAGCCATCTAAAAGGAAGCAACCAACAAATGTTAGAACTGCATTTGAGAAGAGACGAAGGCAAGAGGTGATTATTATAGTTATATTTAGCAATATTTGTTTACATTTATCAAAAACTAAGCTATAGAGCATTACCAAATTGAGGACAATTTTATAATTTTAGATTATTGACGACGTTCTTGCAGAACATGACGACTTTCTTGTAGGCGACGACCACGATGTGTCGACATCGGATCGAAATGTTTGTGCGTTTTACCTCAAATGAAGTTTGTCTAAGATAAAGATGTCAAAATATATGTAGACAGCGAAACAAAAACATATACAGTGGTAACTAATTCAGACTAATGTCGTTTGATCTTTTCTTTATTATTTTAACTCATAGAAAATTCCTTAACGTACCTTAGAAGCGCAATGTGAAATGCCAAGCAGCCATAACAATCCGTCCGCAAAAACACGTAAGGTCAAGAACCACTCAAACAAAGTGCCAAATATGATAAGTAGAGCTATAGACTTTCCATTTCGGCCGTTTTGATTTTTGTGAAAAATCCAGCAATACGATAATTTTATTTAAAGGTTGAGTTAATTTCAACAAAAAATCATAGCACACAGACGACGTCATGTGAAATTGAACATTTTGAGGACAGCGCTGTATGGTCTGATACAGAAAGCACGTCGACGATGAGCAATAGCTACAATGGATCAGACTCTCACTCGTTTTCTTCACTCTCAGGCATAGGTCCAATGTCATGTGTGTACACGACCATAGCTGTTTTTTACGACAGCTTCGTTTCTACACACTGTGGCAAACTCTTCCTCTTGTGTGATACAAATATGATCGCCATGTATCAAAGGATCAGTATTGTTTACCTCTTGGCAACATATACTTCCCGTCCTGTACTCATGACAACACAAAAGCCACATTCGCACCTAAAAGATAAAAACATTGTTTTTACTTTGGGAAAAACAATGAAGCATCAATAAAATGCAACTAACCGTTCAACATTTCCAATTCTGTGAATGTATTTATCTTCGCTTTCCGATGACGGAGAATTGTCATTACTATGACCACCTTGCGCGTTGGCCAATAGCTCAAACATGTAAGGTTGTACCTCATTGTTATTGATGACAATATCATAATCGGCATCTTCTTCAGAAGAATCCATTAATTTTTGTTAAATAAAAAACAGTAATAGCAAACTACCGAAAGCCGTGCAAGCACTGCGTGCAAGTCGTAGAACGATATAAGAACGAAGCTTGTTTACGTCAACTATTACGTCACTCTTTCCCAGTTCCCAGACTTAAAAAATCTCACGGCGTTTTAGCAATGGTCATCGAATATCGTGTTTTTACCGATTATAACCCTAAATATCTTTTTAAATATTTCGCGGACGACTTTGAAACTTGGTACGTCTTATTTTCACACTATAGGCATTACAATAAAATAAAGTTGTCTTCTAGCTTGCATGTGTCCTTTAAGAGCTTTATACAACCGGCCCCAGCTTTTTAAATTTCACAATGTGCTTGAAACGGAAGTAGGAAGTTGGGACAAAAATTGACGTAAGCCACTCTTGCTTGTTGGCTTGCGTCATAACGTGAACTTTGTGCACAAAGTTTAATTTGTTGAAAAATATTATTTTTTTTCTTACGTGTCTCTGCGGGCCGGATTGAAAGGCCCAGCGGGCCGCATCTGGCCCGCGGGCCGTAGTTTGGAGACCCCTGGCATAATGTATTGTGAATTTCAGACGATTTTTATTGTTTAAAAAATCACTTCTTTTAACACTCGCAGCGAGTGCACATAGAAAATGGACAAACCATGAGTAAGATTCTGATGGCCAAAATGAGTCGGGTTGTCAATTCTCAATTCTCATCGTCAAAATGTTGTCAAAATGAAGACGACCACAACATTAGTTATTCAGAATTTTAAAGTTTTGGTTTTTCTCGACCCAATCCTCCACCATTCACAGTTGCTCCGCATACTTTCTTATAGTCACGTGATTAAATGGAATGAAACATGGAAAGATGGCGGAATTCCAGTGGAATAGTAATTCATAGAGATGCCTTAGTAAGGTTTTATTTTCATTCCTTTTGAACTTTTAAATCATTCAGTCATGCAGAAGAACGTGAAAACAAAGAACGTGTTCCTATCTGGTGCTTTACAAAGAATTCTACTCGATAAAGAAACAAAAGTCTCATCATTCACAACTAAAGAAAGCTTGCGAAACGGCTTTAGGTATAAATCCATAAGTAATGATTGTAGTTATTGCTGATGTATTTAGATTCTACTTGCTCTATGTTTTATGCATTGTCAACCAGTTTCTGCATTCGCTATCAACAAAACATTAAGTGTAGTAATCCCTCATTCAGGATGTCAACGAACGCTGTCGATAGTATCTTTAAAATTGCTCAATGTATGATTTGTACTTTTTTATACGTGACAAACAGTTATTTTTTAGTGTCAATCGCTTTTTCATGTTCTTCTGTTTGAGTTATATGTATATATGTTTCTGGAGAAATGTATGTCAACGTGTGCAATGAATATAATGTGGCTGTGTTCAGGAATGTTGCTTTACAAAATGATCTCTTTATGATTTTGATCTATTCTAGAGGAAATAAACGCTGTTCAAGGAAATGAAAAATCTACAGGGTAAGTTTAATTATGTAAAGTTGTCCAATTTTCTTTCCAACTTTCCAATTTTAACATGACCAAAATGAGTTATTAACCTTGAATCTTAATTATTTCACAGTTATATCCAGACTACGCATGCGCACAGATTTGCTAAGTTTTATTGTTCAAAAGTTAGATTTATAAACCAGAATGTTGGTTTGATTTATTTATAATAAAATCTTCAGGAATGTTTCTTCTGCAACTCTACCTCCACTACCTGGTCAGCAAACATTCATTACAGCAGATCAATATTTTCTTCCTTTTGAGTTGGCTTGTCAAACAAAATGTGCCAGGATTGTCACCATTGCACTTGACTGTATACAAGTAAGTTGAATTTTTTTGATGTGTTAGGACACTTGGAGTCTTTAGTTGTAAGAAATAGATATAATATTGTAAACTCTTTCATCGCATTGTTATTAAGTTATTGCAATTTGATAGAACAAAATTAGTTCCTATGTATTTTCTTTGTTAGTTACCTCCTAAATTTCTCCTAGAAATTGTCAATATTGCTATCCTTATGTATCAACAGTACTCATCCCCAAGCCTCACAACTTCACTTGTGTCTTTTCACCACCATTTTGTATTCCTTCACAAATCTAGGTCATGTATTTTGCTTCTATAAATTGGAGTATTTCAAACATTCTTTTTTTATAGAAACTCATTGCTTATGGTCATATTGTTGGCGATACACCAGACTCCATTGAACCAGAGAGGCGTTTAATTGACAGAATTATCAAGACTATTTGTACTTGCTTTACCAGTATAAATACTGATGTAAATGTTCAAATACAAATTATAAAGGTATTTATAAAAAGTAATGTCAAACTGTTAAAGTATTTAATGAGAGAAATGATATATCCTTGAGGAATTTAAAGAGGGTAATGACATATGTATCCCTATGTTTTTTACATTTCATGTGCCATGAGTTTTTTAAATATCACATTGAATAATTGGATTCCAACAAGATTTAAAAAGTCTATGTGTTAACTGTGAACAGTTGAAAATGATCTTATTTTTATAATGTGTATATTTTTATTATCTATATTTACAGGCTCTTCTAACAGCTGTTACATCAAGTACTTGTGAAGTTCATGAAGGAACTTTACTTCAAGCAGTTAGAACAGTTTACAACATTTGCCTTGCCAGTAAAAGTCTTATTAGTCAAACAACAGCAAAGGCAACACTGACGAAATGATAAGTCTTGTGTTTCAGAGAATGGAAAGTCAAGCTGTAAGTTTTGTTTTGATGAACATAATATTTTTGTATCATATTGTACATCAATAGACATGTCAATGTTGATAATATTGTATCATATTGTACATCAATAGACATGTCAATGTTGATAATATTGTATCATATTGTACATCAATAGACATGTCAATGTTGATGATATTATATCATATTGTACATCAATAGACATGTCAATGTTGATAATATTGTATCATATTGTACATCAATAGACATGTCAATGTTGATAATATTGTATCATATTGTACATCAATAGACATGTCAATGTTGATAATATTGTATCATATTGTACATCAATAGACATGTCAATGTTGATAATATTGTATCATATTGTACATCAATAGACATGTCAATGTTGATAATATTGTATCATATTGTACATCAATAGACATGTCAATGTTGATAATATTGCATCATATTGTACATCAATAGACATGTCAATGTTGATAATATTGTATCATATTGTACATCAATAGACATGTCAATGTTGATAATATTGTATCATATTGTACATCAATAGACATGTCAATGTTGATAATATTGCATCATATTGTACATCAATAGACATGTCAATGTTGATAATATTGTATCATATTGTACATCAATAGACATGTCAATGTTGATAATATTGTATCATATTGTACATCAATAGACATGTCAATGTTGATAATATTGCATCATATTGTACATCAATAGACATGTCAATGTTGATAATATTGTATCATATTGTACATCAATAGACATGTCAATGTTGATAATATTGTATCATATTGTACATCAATAGACATGTCAGTGTTGATAATATTGTATCATATTGTACATCAATAGACATGTCGATGTTGATGATATTATATCATATTGTACATCAATAGACATGTCAATGTTGATAACATTGTATCATATTGTACATCAATAGACATGTCAATGTTGATAATATTGTATCATATTGTATATCAATAGACATGTCAGTGTTGATAACATTGTATCATATTGTACATCAATAGACATGTCAGTGTTGATAATATTGTATCATATTGTACATCAATAGACATGTCAATGTTGATAATATTGTATCATATTGTACATCAATAGACATGTCAATGTTGATAATATTGTATCATATTGTACATCAATAGACATGCCAGTGTTGATAATATTGCATCATATTGTACATCAATAGACATGTCAATGTTGATAATGTTGTATCATATTGTACATCAATAGACATCTCAATGTTGATAATATTGTATCATATTGTACATCAATAGACATGTCAGTGTTGATAATATTGTATCATATTGTACATCAATAGACATGTCAATGTTGATAATATTGTATCATATTGTACATCAATAGACATGTCAATGTTGATAATATTGTATCATATTGTACATCAATAGACATGTCAATGTTGATAACATTGTATCATATTGTACATCAATAGACATGTCAATGTTGATAATATTGTATCATATTGTACATCAATAGACATGTCAATGTTGATAATATTGTATCATATTGTACATCAATAGACATTTCAATGTTGATAATATTGTATCATATTGTACATCAATAGACATGTCAGTGTTGATAATATTGTATCATATTGTACATCAATAGACATGTCAATGTTGATAATATTGTATCATATTGTACATCAATAGACATGTCAATGTTGATAATATTGTATCATATTGTACATCAATAGACATGTCAATGTTGATAATATTGTATCATATTGTACATCAATAGACATGTCAATGTTGATAATATTGTATCATATTGTACATCAATAGACATGTCAATGTTGATAATATTGTATCATATTGTACATCAATAGACATGTCAGTGTTGATAATATTGTATCATATTGTACATCAATAGAGATGTCAATGTTCATAATATTGCATCATATTGTATATCAATAGACTGAAAATGAAAATGAAGAAAAGGATGATAGCAATAATTTTAAATCAGAAGAAATCAGCAAAAGGAGGAGAAAACTGACATCAATCCTTTACCAAATGGTGAAATCCATCATGGCGACGATAAAGTTGAAGGTGTGAACGGTAAGAAAGAAATTCTACTTGGTTTTGGAAATTTGAACCTCCCCCCTGAAATTGTCTGAGAAGATAATCAACCACCCTGTGCAAAAAATTGTCTACGTATTTCTTTTGTTTTCAAAAACCGGCTTTACGACGATATTGCTGACCAATCCTTATTTTTCAATATTTTTGATGGCTTTCATTTACAGATAGCGAAGTCTCCGTTTCTTCCACGGAAGTTAAAGATAAGGATGTTAATGATACAGTTATCATGAATGAAGAATCAATGGTTGAAGAGAAGAGTGTAAAAGATGTTGTTGATGGTGTCAGTGATGCTGTGAACGATGACACAAAACAAGATTTAGTCGAAACAACAGTTGACACTAATGTCTCGGAGTCTGTTGATAAAGAACAGCATTTAAATGACTCAGACGCGTTGAACAATGCTGCTGTAGATGACTTGCCTTCTAAGACTTTTTCAAATGACAATACAAAAGACAATATAGGTGAAGAAAGTGAAGAATCAGTGAAGATTGCCAAAAAAACATCTCGATGGAAGTTCAAATGTTAATGACGAGTCCGTTAATGGCGATTCCCCATGTGTGACCCAGGTACAAGATGTTAGTGATCCATCTGAAACCAAAGTAATCCCACCAAATAGCGTTGATGTTGATTCAGAAGCAAAGACAAATAACTCGACAACTGGCGAAGTTTCAGAGCCCAAGGAGGATGATGGGAATGAAACTGCACGAAGTTCCGTCTCCGAGTCTCAGTCTGATATGCCCAGCGAGACGTCAAGTGAAGGCAAGCCACCTCAACAAAGATTTTCTCATATCACCCAGAAGGATGCATTCTTAGTGTTTAGGTCCTTGTGTAAACTATCAATGAAACCGCTTGCGGAAGGACCGTTGGATCCCAAGTAAGTTAGCTACAGTTTTTTGAGATGTATGTTGATAATGTATGAAACTCTCATTGATCATAAGTCACTTCAAAAAAGTGGTTTGTGCTAATTTATATTGTACTATCAGTTCATGTCATCATGAATATCTTTACTACAGAAACTTTGACTTTTTTTTGATTCTAAGATACATGTATCAAACTGTTCGTTTATATCTTCTTTATCCAATATTACTTCAGAAGGAAACCTAAATCAAACAAACTTTATTTATACTATAGATATCTCTAACTAAGATCATAATTGTTCTTAAAGATCATGCAGTAAAGGTCATCTCTTATTGATATAACTTTATGTACTACATAAACAAATTGAACTCAACTAAATTGACCTGACATATAAAAGAAAGCTCTATCAGTACTTTTTTAAAGTAAGATTTTAGCATTAGCTTTTAAGATTTACTCGCGATAAAAAACCTTTCATTATTTTCAGATCGCATGAGCTCAGATCTAAAATTCTCTCACTGGAGTTGCTGTTAACTTGTCTACAAAGTGCCGGACCTGTTTTCCGTACTCATCCAATGTTTATCAACGCTATAAAACAATATTTATGCGTCGCATTATCAAAGAATGGCGTCTCATCTGTTCCTGCTGTGTTTGAACTATCGTTGGCAATCTTAAATTATAAAATAAACACAATGAAACGCGTGCGTTGATTGTTCTAGAGCTGAGTTTGCATTAGCCAGTGCAAAGTACATCTGAGCTCAACCAATCAAATCAATCGAAACAATAAATCAGTCAAAGAGAATTTGCAAATTGATCATGAATACATTTTAGAGAAAAAATGGAAGCGTTTGTCTTTTTCACATTATTGTTAATGAATAAAAGAAATAAAAGATGTTTTCGTGTTTCCACTGCCTTATGCAAGCCTTGGAGAGGTTTGTGAGAACCTCGAGCACGTGCAACCCTGGACCTTTGGTCTCGGGCTTGCACTGATCATCTCTTATGTTCTCCCAAATGTCTCCTCGGTTTGCATAATCCTGTGCAAACACAGTAAACATCTTTTATTTCTTAAAGGGGAACTCCACCCAAAAATAATGTTGGTCTTAAAAGTTCCATTTTTATGCAAAGGTTACTATATTTTGAAATTTTACATCAGCTATTTTATTTTTGACAAAATCGCGTCTTCAAGTGCGCTATTTGAGCTGTTTTGAGGCTTAGCAGCGTGGGCACTGAAAGCGTCAGCGGAAATTATTTTGACGTCATATCGTCAAACCGATTTGGAGTTGAGTTTACAACAAAGTAAAATAATAACGCACAGCCTAGCACAAAAACAAAACAATCGCTTATAATGGCTTTTTTGGAAGAACCTCGGCCTAATTCATCAATCGATAGCGAAATGGAAGACAATCCAACAAAGAATATTCGGCCATATCAGTTTGAGCCCGAATGGCCGGCTGATGAACACGAAGAAGCTCACCAGTTTGAGGATAACGAAGAACAGGAATTTTTGTATATAGACGATGAATCTCGGCGCGACAATCTTGAATGGTGGGTAGTAAAATGTTATATTATTCTAGACCATTGTTTCTATCTCAAAAGTACGTTTTCAGTTTTTGAAGTTGACCACGTCCACACACACATAATACTTTAGATTTTAAAGTTTTTATTGTAAGATACAATTTTTGTTGAAGTTTTGACATTTACTTGTCAAGATCCTTTCTTTTAACATATTCAGGTGTCAATGTGGTAACTGCCAAATAATGGATAATAACGAGGAATGTTTATGCTGCAAAGAGATTTCCAATATTTGTGACAAAAATTTAGAGGCAGTAGAAACGAATGAGACCACCGAAGTCCCTTTGTGCATTACACAACATCCTGGTTTTGAGCCTGTTTGTCTTAACAGGTGGGTTTTACAAACAGCTTGGTACCTGTACAAGCAGCAATATGAGGTAGCATATGATGGGCCCGAAGACAAACTGTACCGCCATATTGCATATAGACAGTTGGCAAGATGGTGCTGGGGTGTCTTGGGTAGAGAAGTGAGAGTCATCTTGCCATCATGTGCAGTTACTCGCATTAGAGAAACATTTCCTCCACCTGGCCTTGCAGAGGAATTTCAATTTGAAGGCTTCCACTATGCTGATGAATGAAGTATTTTATTATGATATAGGTATACCCATTACAATTACTTTGTATGTCAATATTAAAGTGGCATAGCCAGCTCATTTATAGGTCATGCTATGCACATTTATTATTATTAATTTATTACAAAAAAAACCAGATTTACAAAGAAATGATTATAAATGTGGCTTGGCTATTACACTTGTTATAATATAACTATAATTAATTACATGAATAGTTTGTGTACTGCAGTGGTGAAACTAGCTATAGCAAAAGGTTTTGCTATGTTAATATTTAAGAATGAACATTTTTTAAGTAGTACAAAAGTTGTCTTCACTGATTCAACGTCATATTATATGGGTAAGGCAAAACCTATTGCCATAGCTAACATCACCACTGACATTTTATGCAAATCTAGACTGATGTTCCTTTACAAGTACTTCTTTCCTGGGTGGACATGATTTAGAAATGTTCTTTGGAAGATTCTCGCCATGATGTACAAGTTCAATCTCCTCAGTTTTGCATGCATTCACAACCTCCGCAAGTAGTTTATCAATGTAATGGTACTCTTTCTTTTCTTTCATTGCTTTTACAACCCATTGCTTCTGTGTTTTAGCAAAAATCATTTTGTAACGGTCTTGCCCTTTGTTTGTCCCTGACTTAATAACTGCTTTATCACGTTTAATATTGTTGTTGTGATCTAATGCTGCTAACTGAGTGCGGGCTACCATCCCAGGAAATGAAAATGCTCGCTTTGGGCAATATTTCAGTAAAGGGAATGGTAAACCTCCAACTCTCCTGTGTGACAAAACTCAGATAGCTTCCAGGTCTTTTAGAAGCCTCTTGTCACATATCACCTTCTCTGCAGCGATATATGCTTGTGAAGTAGGAGATAACCACTTCTTCTGCTTTGTTTCTTTTTCTGTTAATTGTTGGTGGCAACATTGATGAAAATATGTGTTCCCCTTCCAGAAATGCTTGTTGGAAATGTGGTTAAGGACAGACTTCCATTTTTCCACCAATTCTTCTGCATTCTTGTTACAACTTGCAGAGCACCACCAAAGATGATTAGAAATGGACTTAATCCAATGGGTCAAGTCATCATTTCCTTAATGTTAGCCTTCTTTGTTAGTTTTTTTGTGACAGATTTAGACAAATGCCACACATCATATTGGTGATCAATATGAGGGTGTTTGTTTTTCATAGCACTGGCAATCGAAACATGTCTATCTGTTGTTATTACTAACAGGAACTAGCTTTTCAACTTCAGACAGACATCTTTCAAATGCTTTTTTCTCCATAGCATTAGAAGAACTGACTTCAGTACTTTGCACAACATTAAAAGTTACTATCTTACCAGAGTCAGCCATCATTGTATAAGTACCATACTTGGCATTATGCCCTGGGCTATCACGTTCGTTTAGTTCGTCCAAATTGATCTGCACTCTGATTCTTAGTTATAGAATTTTGATTAAGAAAGAAGTACGACTTTTCTTATCCAATAACAACTCTACTGCGTAGTCTCTAATTTTACTTCTATTTATACCAATGGTTTCGTGCGTAGGAAATAAATTTTCGTCCCAAATGTGACTTAAAAAAGGGAAATTATGTACAATAATTAGGAAACTATAAGTTCTTACTTTACGTCAAGGAAACTACACCTTAATTCTATGCACGAAAGGCTATTTTTACAATGGTTTTAAGTAGGATTATTTTCTAACCGTAATGAGTTACACAACCATGTTTATTATTATTCAATGTTTATTAAGGGCAATAGATTGGTTTCACAACAGTGGAAACTGTTGTTAAGGTTGAATTCGGAGGACAAGCAAACGGCATTACGCACAGTTTCCACACAAAGAAACCTTCGTATTTTTTAAAAAATAATATTAATCGACATTCAAGTTCTATATGTAGTGCGGAAACTGTGCGATAATGGCCTTTATGGATGTGAAACCGTTCTATTAAAACAGAATACAAATAACCAGCTCAATACTTGCATGTAAGCTATAAAGTTGCTTGTGTATATACCTACGAATAAAAAATTCTGACGTTTCGAAAAGAAACATTTTGTGATTAGGAGAAGCATTTTGACGCAAGTTTATTATGACTGTGCAATGACTTTACATAAAGCTTTGAGGAGCAATTGACGATATGACGTCAATACAAGCCGCTGACATATTTCTGCTCCCACGCACCGGATGCCCTAGCTGCAGCATTTCAACTCATTTTTTGTGAAAATATTGAATCAAACAAACAAAAAAATTGCCGCATATTTATTTTCACGGGACAGACAAAGTTTTAAGACAAACATTATTTTTGGGTGGAGTTCCCCTTTAATTGAAACATTGAAACGTTTTATAACAACGTGCAATGCACGAGATAGTTTGTAAATGTTTGTTTTGACGTCAAACTCAAACTAAGATTTTACGGATAATAATGTAGCACAGTTCTCATCCTTTGGATCAAAATTTTTAAAAGAATTACATAATATATAATATAAATATATTTAATTTTTCAAGTGTTTTTTATCAGAAATCACCCGTACTTATTTACTAAATGTATGGAATTAAAGTGCTTTTACATGCTTAAACTGCGAAATTTGTCGGTGTTAAAAATAACCAGGAATTTTTTATTATAGCTGTGTGCCGTCGTTTTTTTATATATTCACCCTTCCATGAGCGAAACTAGAACGTTAATTGGGAGTATATATTCATATGTTCAGCTTTGCCCTGCTGATTTCTTTTGTTTGCGATGTTAATTTCAACAGAAGTCAGCAGGGCAGAGCTGATATGAATATTTACCCCGCCTCCAATTACGTTCTAGTTTTGCTCCTGACGCTATCAGTATGTTATTTGAGAACTTAAATGTCGTTGTTAAGAAATCATCGTAAAAACGAGAAAATTGATTTTATTTTTATGCCTTACTACAATACAACATATCTACATGCACTTTATCATTTAAATAAAGCAAACATGTTGGAATATTTAGACAAAAAATACATTTAATTGAGTAATTGTATATCGTTTATGATTAAGTTGAAAACAGCAAAAACCATTCATTTTATTGTGAATTTGCATTCTGAAATGAATGACTAAAGTATATAACCTACGATGTTCACTTTTGATTTTATTTTAATATCTTGTGTTATGTTTACATACTACGAGGCTGTGGCTTAAAGCAAGATCAATCAATGGCTTAGTCATCCTACTAGTTATGGTATTGCATAATGTATTGTGAATTTCAGACGATTTTTCTTGTTTAAAAAATCACTTCTTTTAACACTCGCAGCGAGTGCACATAGAAAACGGACAAACCATGAGTCTGATTCTGATGGCCAAAATGAGTCGGGCTGTCAATTCTCAATTCTCATCGTCAAAATGTGGTCAAAATAAAGACGACCACAACATTTGTTATTCAGAATTTTAAAGTTTTGGTTTTCTCGACCCAATCCTCCACCATTCACAGTTGCTCCGCATACTTTCTTATAGTCACGTGATTAAATGGAATGAAACATGGAAAGATGGCGGAATTCCAGTGGAATAGTAATTCATAGAGATGCCTTAGTAAGGTTTTATTTTCATTCCTTTTGAACTTTTAAATCATTCAGTCATGCAGAAGAACGTGAAAACAAAGAACGTGTTCCTATCTGGTGCTTTACAAAGAATTCTACTCGATAAAGAAACAAAAAAGTCTCATCATTCACAACTAAAGAAAGCTTGCGAAACGGCTTTAGGTATAAATCCATAAGTAATGATTGTAGTTATTGCTGATGTATTTGGATTCTATTTGCTCTATGTTTTTATGCATTTTCAACCAGTTTCTGCATTTGCTATCAACAAAACATTAAGTGTAGTAATCCCTCATTCAGGATGTCAACGAACGCTGTCGATAGTATCTTTAAAATTGCTCAATTGTTGTGGCAAACAGTTATTTTTAGTGTCAATCGCTGGTTCATATTCTTCTTGAGTTATATGGAAATAAACGCTGTTCAAGGAAATGAAAAATCTACAGGGTAAGTTTAATTATGTAAAGTTGTCCAATTTTCTTTCCAATTTTCCAATTTTAACATGACCAAAATGAGTTATTAACCTTGAATCTTAATAAATTCACAGTTATATCCAGACTACGCATGCTCACAAATTTGCTAAGTTTTATTGTTCAATAGTTAGATTTATAAACGAGAATGTTGGTTTGATTTATTTATAATAAAATCTTCAGGAATGTTTCTTCTGTAACTCTACCTCCACTACCTGGTCAGCAAACATTCATTACAGCAGATCAATATTTTCTTCCTTTTGAGTTGGCTTGTCAAACAAAATGTGCCATGATTGTCACCATTGCAGTTGACTGTACACAAGTAAGTTTTTTTTGATGTTCAAAATAAACGATTTTAAAATTGCTGCATAAAGATATTATATCTTTTCATTTTAAATTTTAATTACTTTTCTTACACTGAAACAATCATTACTAACTGATAATCACCTAATTGAAAACAAGGCATCTTACGCCCCGTCCACACGTATCCGGATTCATTCGTTTCCCCAAATATTTTTTGCAGTTACACTTATCGTCCACACGTATCCAGCGAAAACACCTACTGTAACTGCAAACTTTTGAACGGTCTCCAGATTGGAAACTTTTGAAAACGCATCAAATCCGGACATGTGAGGACATACTGTAACGGAATGATTTCAAAACGATGACGTATATCGATGAAATATAATTTCTACCTACGCACCGCTGCCCTAATCCAATCCACATTTATCATGCGTTATCCTATGCATTAAAATGGCGCCAAAGTCATTTTTTGATTTCAACTGTCCTATTTTCGAGCAATGTTGCGTTTATGCGATTTATTTTTGCCGCCTTAAATTATCTAACGTATTATGGAAAGAGGGAGAGCAGTTTTGATACGGCTCATTTCAATGCCAGTTGTCAGAAATGTGTCCTTAAACATTTTGTTATTTTATATTCTAAAACGGATCTCAGTAAAGATCCACTTCATCATATGTCCACATAAAAGCTTCATTCTTACTACTTTTTTTTTAATATCTTGATGCACTAGCTTTGTCGGATATTTCGACATTTTATAGCCAGTTCATTATTCGTATTAGCGCATGCTCTGTAAGTAATAATTGGGTATTTGTATCGTTTTCGCGGCTACGTGTGGACACACAAAAACGCATCAAATTTGCATACATGTGGACGCGTAAAGTTTTGAATCCGGAACAAATGTTTGCAGGTACAAATGAGTCTGTATACGTGTAGACAGGACCTTGAATTCACTAACATAAATAATCCCTCGTGGCTTTGACTATGTTCTAAGACGGTTAGAGCTTAATTACTTGTGTCTTATGGGATTAAGAGACCCTCACATTAAATAAAATTTACTCTATTTAATCCTTGGGACTCTTAATCTCATAGAACACACGTGATCATGCTCTAACCCTTACCACAATGTAAGAATATACAGAAGAGTCACTCGTGTCGGAACCTTTGATGATTTTGTCCTCGCGCATGTCGTGCCGCGCATGGTGGCCGCCATAATTCCAGCCAGATGATTAAGGTTTTTGACTTTTTTCAAACCTTTAACTTGATCCGAAGTTATTTCTTACGTCAAAACATACTTGAATTCATTATTCAGTATTGACGTCATTTAATTTTAATGGTTGGAAACAAGTGAGAAATTCTAATTATCTGGCTGAAATAATGGCCGACATGAGGACGTGTTGTACACCTGGGTGACCCTTCTTTATAATCATTACTCTGTAGCATTGTGCTGTTAGTAGTCACACGAATGTAAACATTGTGAACAGATTTGGCCACTCTGTGCCCAAATCTTTCAATCTTTAGTTGTCAATATAAGAGACCACGTCTTGACCACGTTCAACGCGTTTAAATATGAAAATCATTTTGAATCTTACGATTTCTTTTGCGTTTTAATGTCGTTATGCAAATTAACGATCCATGACGTTGTAGAGTAGGTTAGGACTCAGAAGACCTTAATCAATTTAGAAACTAGACTTTAATTTTGACCAAATCTTCATACAATCTTGCAGTCATATCTTGATAAGTTAAGGTTCTGAGAATGGTTTATAGGCGTTCTGATTGACGTCACCAACATCTTCAAGCCCAAAATCAATATTACCACAGAATAATGACTATACAGAACGGTCACTCAGGTGTTCAACGTGTCCTTACAACGGCCATTATTCCAGCTATTTGATTAGGGTTTGTTACTGGTTTCCAACCATTAAAATTACATGACATCAATACTTAATAATGAATTCGAGAATATTTTGACTTTAGAAATGACTTTGGATCATTTTGAAGGTTGGGAAAAAGTCAAAAACCCTAATCAACTGGCTGTAATAATGGCGGCTACCATGCACGGCGCAACATGCCAAAGAATAAAAATATCAAAGGTTCCGACACGAGTGACCTTCTGTATATTCTTATTCTGTGATAATATACTGTGAGAATGGTTTAAGGGCGTTCTCATTAACGTCACCAACATCTTCAAGCCAAATTTATAATATTAGCGTTATTTAATAGGCTAAATATGTTTAATTAATAAATAATTGACGTAATATCACAGAAAAATGGTCAATTGTTACTAGCATTTTATATATATTAATGTAGGGAGAGCATAGTTCTTTTGTTTGACAACAATAAGTTTCGTTTTTAAAAATTAGATTTGATAGATACCCAGTAATTTTTTCAAGTACAAACAATGTATTTTAACTCTATAGAGGCCGTTGTACCTCACAGGTAACAATCACCAAACTAGATGTGTAAGATCTTTTGAAAAGGCACGGCTCCCAGAGGGTTAAACAATCATGTGGAACAAATACATATAATGACATGCTTAACACTATTTATAAAGACATCATCCACTTCAAGCCACATATAAACCACGAGGCGTCATGGAAAGTAGATGTTGTTCATATGAGATGGAACAAGACTTTGCACATTAACGACAAGTGTAAACATTTGTGATTGTGCAATCAAAATAAAATTGTTGCCTTCAACTCTCCTCGATGACAAGTTATTTGAAAGCCACGATGTACAAATATATACTATCAGTATCACATCCTAAATGTTGATAGCAGCAGCAAAAATAAATTTGAGAAAAGAAAACCTCTATGAAATGTGTTACACACGTAGCTACTTGTTTCGATATCATTTATGAAAATAGATCCTACGGCTGTAAACTACAAATGTAAGTGACTATCTTGTGAAAATCTTAATTTATTGATGCTACTGATTTCTGGTTTGTTTCTTCAATGTCGCATAAGCTATAACTGAATATATGCAATGAATATAAATACACTAACTTTGCTATCTGTCTCCAATGCACTATGCGGTTGAGTGCATAGAAGTGCAGTTTTCATAGATTAAGGTGTAGACTTGCAATGAACGAGAACCGTAATTGTTTTTTTGCTCGTTTTTCTACGACTCTCTACTACATTTTTATTAGTAGAATCTTGGGGAAAACAGAACGCCCTTAAATTCTCTCCTAACATTAACAACATATGACTTCAAGATTTAATGAATATTTGGACAAAATTAAAGTCGAGTTTGTAAATTCATTATCGTCTCATGTATCTTACCCTACAACATCATGCATATTTGCTTTGCATAAGGACATTAAAACGCCAAAAAAATTGTAGATTCTAATGAATTTTTTGTTCAAATGCATAGAAGGATTACTTATTGTCTTTGTAAAAGGTGAAAAGCTCCTAAGGGGCCAATTAAAAGAAAAAATTTTAGTCATGACGTGATTAAACAAATGTTAACAACGGAAACTTAGTCACTTTAACGTTGTAGAAAGAAAGGTGAATTTTGTCTTTTTCCTGACGGATTACTGAACTATGAGTTGCATGGAATAATCAACTAGTCTTAACAGTAGGCCTCGTAATATGAAAGCTTTCAATGTAAATGCTTTGATAACGATGTTAAGCCTTTGATCGTTTGAAACTTGTTACATCTTTCAAACTTAACGGGCTAAAGCTATTCGTGCAATGTTGGTGAATGTTCTACCATTTGGACAGTCAAACAGAAAACATATAACAATTTGCTCATTCTCAATATATCTGATTAAGAATTTAAAAACGCAAAGTAACGTCATATGTAGATTTCTTTATCATGAAATGTCGTACATATGTTTCATATTTTGTTACATTGTAGATCCCACATGGATAGAGTTGTGAAAGACCCTTTACCACCTGTGTCATTCACTTCAATTACTCTTACTAGTTTGTCATTACTCATGTGTCATGGCGATTCATGGCCAAAAATTTTCATTTGTAGTTTGGATTCTTTGTGGCTGTCAGTTGTTTGTTCATATAATGATGATGGGCCCCATTGTTGTATGAGACCACCTAAAGGTGGTCAGCTGACATTCTTAGGAGATCAAATCTGCACTAAACATTCTTTGAGTGATGATATAACTGGGGTATTGAAGTGATCCCTTTTCCTTCACTTGAAGTTACCATAAGAGTGTATTGTAAACAGTAATCTATCGAAATGGTGATTCATAATACCAGTAGCCCCTTTATTGGTTACGTCGATTACTTTGTGTATGGAATGGTACGAACATATTGAATGGACATTGCATAAAGGCATTTGTACGTGTGAACATTAATATTGAAATGATTGGACTATAATCTACGAAGATGGAAAACAAGTGAGTGGAAAAACATGATCCATGTCTTGTGGTTTGTAAGTTGAGTAGATAAGTATTAAAATTAATTTATAGCCAGGGGCGGATCTAGGATTTTTCAAACATCAGTCATAAAACGTCGAAGGCGCTCCGCACCTGGGGGGGTCTGAGGCATTCTCCCATGAGAAATTTTGAATTTCAGAGCCTTGAAAATGCCATTTTCAGCGTTTTAGAGCAATACAAAATGTATTTGTGGGCATCGTTTTTGCGTAAAAACAACACATTTTGCTTACGTTTTTTTCAAAAAAAAAAAAATGAAGTGAACAATACTTGAATGTTTTGCCAAATATTTAGGCTTATTATCATGCCAAATATATGGCTCATTAGCATGTCTAGGAACGTAAAATTTATTTTACAATAATGCTATTCAAAAACAGATATAGTCTTGAAAAATTTCTACCAAGTTGTCAGGCATAGACCCCCCTAGAGACCCCCATTCAAATCTCTATGCAATAAGTTTAGTTAAGTTAGAAATTTGGTACTACAAGTGACAGTTCATAGATATAGAAAAGCTCAGACTTCAAACCATGCAAGTTTATTGTAACCCTTTACCCATCTCCACATCAGTGCCAGCAAATTCACCTTTTGAGAAAAAACTCAAAATTTTTTTCTGCCAAAGGTTAAGCAAAAATTATCAGAGTGAAAATTTGCAGTTAAGGACAGCTTAATGCCATAAATGTTTATTAGGCATTTAACTAGACTATTATCTCCTGTAAGTATATGCAAGGTGTGCTATATAGCAATCACTAGTAGCATTGTATTTGCAAATACAAACAGAATGTAACCAACATGTCTTTAATTATATAATTACATGAATGTTAAAATTGGTTCATGTGCCATGCTTACTGGTTATGATAAATATCTTTTCATATGATCAAAGCTTGTTTAAATGTAAATCAGAAATAATTTAGCTTAGAAATTATAATGATCATCAGAAAAATTACCTAGTGATCATGAAAAATAAGTTGCTGTTTTACCAAATTTCAAGGTTTATCTGCATACATAGAAAGACATTTTTACTTTATAGAAAATGCTTTTCATACATCAATAGCCCTTTGGAATTTATGGCAAACAATCTGGTATGAGCCGTAGATTAACACACCTTTACATCTCTACATGAGGTGTTCAGTTAGAAAAGGGGACAATATGTGACATGGGACAACATTCCATGTATGTGAAATACTCAGGTTTAATACCATTCCAGTCAAATTGTCAAAATAAAAGCTTCATGGATCAGAAGACTCAAAATCACAGGTTATAGTAAACAGCTTCTCATGTAATCAATGTTAGTTTTCTCAAATCTTAAACAATATGTAGTATAACTGTCCAATGATTGAATGATCAATGATTATAAACTGAAAACCCCAAACATTTGTTTATGATAAAGTAAATAATAGTATGGCGCCTTATGGCTACAGATTTTTGTCCATTGAAATATATTTGCAGGAATGTAGGATTTCGCTGCCGTATAACGGCCACGATTCCCAAGCACTAAAGAAATCATAGCTAAAAGTCCTTCGTCAATAACAATTTTAGAAGCATAAATCTGCTTACCATACGCCATATTGACATAAATCGCATCACACACTCGCATAATTGACTTTGATATATTACATTCATGCATACACTTCAGTTGTCCTTTACTTACGATTTTGGATGTAAATTTCTGCTGATAAAACTCAAAACAATGTTGGCTTTCTTTTGAACATCAATGACTGAAATGTCGCTCGTGAGATCGTCTTTGCCAAGCATTTAAAATTTATCCATAAATTTCCACCCTCTTGAAAAAAATTCACATTTTGGACAGCAGCATTCATGTCAATATATGAATTTGTAAAAGATTTCCATAAATTCCATCTGATTGTAGTTTAGTTTCTATCATGCTTATAAAAATTACTATAAAACGATCAAACATTCAATTCAGACAGTGAGCTTGACTATGTTAGTTCAGTTGGCTATCAGTCGAAATTCGTCAAACCAATCACAATAAAGCAAAAATTCAAATGAACCAATTGTAAGATAGCAATTGGACTCCCTTATACGTCCGGCCACCCTTATTATCAGTCGAGACCATTCCAGACTGTCCACTGATCTGGCTATTGACCAATAAAATAAGCGTTTTTGACGTTCATAGACTCCTTTATCCGTCGAATAAGTCAAGCCACCCCCGCTTATCAGTCGGTTATTCCAGGTCAATTAAAATTCAACTGATCTGGTTACCAACGAGATATTCATTGCATTAGTCATTAGTTTTCAATAATAAATAAAGCTGGATTTTTATCACGAAGTAAATGCGATAATAAAGTAAGAATAATTAATGAATTTTTAATTAATATGAATGGGTAATTTTTGAATTTCAAACATTAGTCGCGCGACGGATTTGACATACTCTAGATCCGCCCCTGCTTATAGCTATGAGTAACTGCATGATATATTCAAAAAGTATCCTGATGGTCTATTTTTATATTTGAGCTATAACCATGAAAAACACCCATATAGTTAAAAAAAGTCAATAAAAGATGTCAATTGCTGTGAGAAAATAGCTGGCTTTCACTCGCTACTTTTTATTGTTTTTATTAAACGTTTAAACAAAATTGAAATTCTGCAGGTAGGCTTCATTGAATTTTTAAGGTGAAAATGTTACGATATTCACGTTACAGTATACACGTAAAAACTGCGCTGTGGAAAAAGTGAAAGAGACTTACTAAGACTCCTGGATAAGACGGACAAGGACAATGCTTGAAAATCAGGTATTAAAGTTTTGTTCTTTTTTAAAATATATAATTTCTGATTTTATTCATTTATATGCTGACATTTATAATGTGTTTTTTATAGAGTAGCTATGTCGGTAGGTGTAATATCTACACATTGAATGAACGATCAAGTTGGACAGAAGCACGAAGAAACAAGCTTCCTTATTGAAAGATTCCCACTTGTGACTTTCGTTATGCATACTATTAATCAGTATAACGCATTTTTAAATTCAACCGTTAAAAATTTCCGTAAAACTTAATTTTCACAATTGTCAAATTTTCGGACAAAACAAACGAGTGAAAGCCAGCTATTAATGAAAATCTAAATGAAGCAACATAGAAAATTTAATCGAATAAAATCTAGTAAACATCGAAAATAATTTGTATGCAAGTCACGACGTCATTTTGGTCATTTCATTTTTCATTGTTATTGTTTGGTGAATGATCATGTCGAACGTACTGAATGAATTTTTCATATGATTTATGTATGAGCTGCTATTAGTATTTATTTTTAGTCTATTCATTAAAATTTTTGTTAACATTCTTCACTCTTTCATTTTTTGTTCTCTACTAAAGTTTTCGTTTCTTTTGTTCAAACACAAAATATTTGCGGTGTCAATAAATAGGGAAGTCAGCCCACTTTTTTGTCGCCGCTTTTTTTGTCGACGCTTTTTTCGTCGCTTTGCAAATTGAAGATACGAACGACGTAGCTACGATCTGACTACGCTGCATGTTAAAGTAGATCATTGGGATTAATTGAAAACAACAAAAATATGATACATCTTAAAACAAAAAAATTTTGGGAAATTTTTCTAAATTTTGATCTTTTTATTTTTTGGAGGGTTTTTTACCGTATCCACCGGTTTTCCAGGGGGGATCTAGGATTTTTCGAACATCAGTCATAAAATATCGGATGCGCTCGGCACCTGGGGGGGTCTAAGGCATTCTCCCCTGAGAAATTTTGAATTTCAGAGCCTTAAGAAACGCCATTTTCAGCGTTTTAGAGCATTACAAAATGTATTTTGTGGGCATCGTTTTTGCGTAAAAACAACACATTTTGCTTACGTTGTTTTCAAAAAAAAAATGAAGTGAACAATACTTGAATGTTTTGCCAAATATTTAGGCTCATTATCATGCCAAATATATGGCTCATTAGCATGTCAAGGAACGTGAAATTTATTTTACAATAATGCTATTCAAAAACAGATATAGTCTTAAAAAATTTCTACCAAGTTGTCAGGCATAGACCCCCCTAGAGACCCCCATTCAAACCTCTATGTAATGAGTTAAGTTAGAAATTTGGTACTACAAGTGACAGTTCATAGATATAGAAAAGCTCAGACTTAAAACCATGCAAGTTTATTGTAACCCTTTACCCATCTCCACATCAGTGCCAGCAAATTCACCTTTTGAGAAAAAACTCAAAATTTTTTTCTGCCAAAGATTAAGCAAAAATTATCAGAGTGAAAATTTGCAGTTAAGGACAGCTTAATGCCATAAATGTTTATTAGGCATTTCACTTGACTATTATCTTCTGCAAGGTGTGCTATATAGCAATCACTAGCAGCATTGTATTATCAAATACAAACAGAATGTAACCAACATGTCTTTAATTATATAATTACATGAATGTTAAAATTGGTTCTTGCGTCATGCTTACTGGTTATGATAAATATCTTTTCATATGATCAAAGCTTGTTTAAATGTAAATCTGAAATAATTTTGTTTAGAAATTATAATGATCACACTGAAGTCCATATAGTATGCCGATACGTGTACCAGTGGGATAAAGCTCATTGTATGTTTTTTCATTTATGCATTTTTCTGCCTTTAGTTTTCTCAGCAACGTCCTTACTTGATTCTCGCGTTTCAGTGTAATTTTGATGGCATTATCATTTAGAAGTTCGAATTTCGATGTGTCCGCTAGAATTTCCATCATCTTTTTGTGGTAGTCGTTTTTATTCAGAATAACAACTCCGTTGCCTTTATCCGGTTTTAGGATGACGATGCTGTTGTCATTTCTCAGATCATTTAACGCGTTCAGTTCATTCTCTGTGTATAAGGCATTCGGTCGGCTGTAACTCCGAAAACCTGAGTAAGCTATGTCCTTTAGTTTTCAACCTCTGCTCCAGCTATTAACACTTTCATACCGAACTAGAAGTTGTTAGAAAATTGTTCACCTTAAACAACTTCCCTTCATACATATTTGACAATCATGTTCACCGCTTCCTCAACAATACATTTGAACCCAAAGATCTTATTCACACTGCTCCTAAGAAAATCATGTACTTCTGTCTCCCTTTCACTGGCCTACACTGTCTTCAGATTCGCACTCAAATCACTCGACTTTGCAATGCTGCCTTTCCTCATATCAACGTTCGCTTTGTTTTTCGTTCTTCCAGGCGTCTCTCCTCTTTCTTTCCTTTTAAGGACAGGGTTCCCAAACTCCTGAGATCTGGTGTTGTATACTCATTTAAGTGTCGATGCTGCTCTGCATCGTATGTGGGTCAAACCACGCGTCATTTACACACCAGAATATCAGAACACTTGGGAATCTCTCCCTTAACAGGAAAGCCTTCCTTATGTCCACCACCATCTGCAGTTCTTTCTCATATAAGAAATACATCTCACTCTGCCGATTTTAATGATTTCTCAATTCTCTCTTTCTCCTCCGACAATTATGACCTTATGATTCATGAAAGCCTTCTTATATCCAAACTTAAACCCTCTCTTAACACCCAAGGCAACTCAATCCCCTTCACCTTCTTTAATATACCGCCATTCTCACTTAATTCCGTCACCTAAGCTTCCTACTCCCTTCACATGTAATTTAACACCCCGTAATATATACTTGTATTTAAAACCTCGTGTATATAAATTAACTCAATTAATCTGAAGATGCCTTAAGTTAAAGACGAAACGTTATTAATAAATCCTTATCTATTTTATTACTGTGATGGCTTTTTTAAAAGTCTTATGTTGGGCTATTATGTTCATATTGAAAATTCGCTTTCCGCCTGGCAAATCTCTGGCCAACTATGATGAATTCTATAATCTCATGACATGTCATTGACACGGTATGATTGCATGACTAGTAGAAATGTAAAATTATTGTGAAAGACAAGCCCTTAGCAATTTAGTATTTCCACCAAAAATAGTTTTCAGTGAAAATTTTGATGATGGCATTTCTAAATTTTTGCGAAATCTTATATATGACGCAAATGTGAAGGTGTTAGCTAGTCACGTCACATGTATTATTAGCCAGAGACTTTGAACAGTGACTGTGGGGAGTGTGACAATCCCTATCTTTTGACGAAGATGTGAAAAATTTGATCAAGTGAAAAAGAGATTTATCCTATTGATAAGAGTTATCCACCTTGCGTACAGCTCGCCCTTGGTGGCTTGTGCAATCGATTACATTAATATATAAGATCGTATTTAAGTAAGAATTTATCATATGAAGCTCAGTTGATATAACTTGTGAATTTTGATTTGAGATCAATTAATCCTTTTATGTTATTGTACGTTAATCATCCATGATGAATTCTTGTGATGACGTTATAATCTCATGACATGGTATAAGATTATAGGACAGGAAGAAAGACATATACTGAAATAGAAAAAGCTCTTGTCATTTTCTGTTTCCAATACCTTAAATTTAGGACTTAGGAGTGTTAAAGTGTAAGAGCAACCTTTAGGATAATAGTTAAAACTCTTTTGCTTATTCTTTAAATAAACAATTCAAGAACTACATGAAAAAATTTGTAAATAGATTTACCAAACGGTGACAGATGTCAATTTGCGCATCAGTGCAAGCTTTGATTACATCCATTTGCAATTGACCTTGCGGTGTGCATAGATGAAATGTTTGATACAGTTTTAAAAATTTAAATTATTAATGGCTAAGGCGTACAAGTTAAGTAATGGAAGCTGTAGTTTATATGCAATAAATTAAGCGACCGTAGAACATGAACAATATGATGGATTTTAGTAGAGGTAATAACGTCAAGTTTTGAAACTATAACAAACGTTTAATTTATGCACGCAGCACGGTCAATTGAAAACGTGCAATGCACGAGATAGTTAGTAAATGTTTGTTTTAACGTCAGACGACAAAATAAGAAGTATATTTCTTGCCACAAAATTTATATACGCGCACTCCATATATATATACAGCTCAGTGTCATAAAGAAAAGTAAAAATCAATGGAAAAGATACCATTTAAAGAGGTACATAAATTGCTCAATAAATTTCATAAAACCAATAACATATTTTAAGATATATATTTCCTTAATTTTTTTGTTATATATGAAAATCTAAATAAATTAAAAAATATCCATTCCAACCAGTCAAGATATAGAAATTCGTAATCATGGAAAAGATTATACATTATTTTATTCACACATGTGTTGAATTCCATCGGATAGAACACGATTTGCCAAACCCAAAACACCCAGAACCAGAACGACAACAACTCCCGTCAAAACAACAAATTCCATTCAACCAAGGACAACAACGGTAATTTTCAAATTCGATCTCAAAACTATGAACTGGACAACACTTTGTACCATACGGACACCATTGTGGCACTCCATGAATTTTTCCACAAATTACACGATTTACATTCTAGAAGAAATTTGATTAATGATTTGAGTACATTATTTAAGTCATTTTTGATATAATGACATTTCTTACATTTATAAATATTTCTATTTAGAACTAAGAATACTCAAAAAGAACATTTTTACTCTTATTGATATTTCAATAATGAAAAACTGTGTGCTCGATAATAAAGTCTTCGTTTTTTCCAAATGTTTTGAGCACATTATTTAAGTCGTTTTACAATTATAATGCGTGGCATATTTTACATTTAAAATAATACACTTTGAGATATTCTCAACTTTGATTGGTAGATTGCTGTGCGTTTTTCGGTAATTACCAATTTACCATATGAAAATGTATAATTGCACTGTAAAGCTTTGAAAACATTCTTTAAAGGGAGGATTTAAAAATATCTCTCGTATGCATGTTTATGTGAACTTGCTCTAGAAATTACACCATTGCCTTTACTAATGATTTCTATTTCAAACTAAAAAATATTTTAGCTGTCTATATTTTTTCTTCTATTAACATAGTGATAATTAAAACTTGTTTCATTGACATTAAAACTTCTCTTTTCTTAAAATGTGTGTCCGAGAACATGGTTTAAAGGTTTGATTCCAACTTACAAGCTCTATATTAGTAACAAATATAACAATTTTCAAAATAACTAGTTACATTGGAGGCGTACGGAGGCTTCAATCTCTGGCTAGAGGTGTGTTGTACTTACCAAAAATGTTACGTATTTCAGTAGTATTTTATGTTGAAATTTAAAGTTTAACGACAATTGGTCAAGTAAAAAATCGTCATTCACTGCATTTTGAGTACATTTTTTAATAAAACAAGAAATAAATGAAAATGATCGATAGAAGGCTTTTTGTACAAAGTGAAAATAACAAGAAAACACCTTTTCAAATGTCTTTAATTTACCTGCCCTAAAAGCACCTACTTCTCAACCTTAGAGGGAGTGA